AAAAATTAAGAGGTTGGGCCATGAAAAAAGTGTTGAGGAAAAACGAAAAAGAAGGGTATTTGTTTTTTTTATTATTATTATTTTGAAGGCAAGCCTGAAAATCTTATCTCTTTTAGCTCATCTAAGCATAAATTGATACATTGGGGATAAGCCATTGTGCTAGTTTGACATAATGCACAGTTTCTTTCAAAAACTCTAGTCTAATATCATTAGGAAGGTCCTTTGGTGACCTATGAAGTCTGATTTATATGTAGGTCACAGGAGCCAGGCGCGTAGCTAGCCTATAAAGAATGTGGATTCAAAACAATCTAGGGGGGTCAGGGGGCATGCCCCCCCCCCCCCCCCCAAAATTTTGAAATAAATGGTGCAATTTGGTGCGTTTTGGGGCCTCCGGAGAGCTTTCTTGACCAACGAAATTTCCATTTATTTTAGCATAAAAATGGAGATGAATAGCTTTACTTTCGTTTATTTCAACTAGTCTACATTTCACAGCAAGTCTAACTTGCGGCCCTTGCTGGCCGCAAACTCGTTAATGATAATATCAATATCTATTTCCATGTGTCTGTAGGCGTGCAACAGGGCTAGTCCAGACATCCGTTCTGTGAGCATCGTTGATCTCATGTAGAATCGGTTCACAGACACGGTCAAACATGTCATTACTCAACAAACAGACCGAAACAAATAAACACTAGGCATACATAGTAACATTTTAGTTATAATTACCTCTTTTCTATCGCTGATTCTGCTGATGACTTCTTTAAGAACTCGATGTAAACATTTGTTTACATTTCGAAAATACGGCGCGTGCAAACTTCCGACTTTGAAGAGCTGCAAAGGCCGACAACTTTTCAAAAAAAATACTACGGTATGGTGTACGATTTAGGCTATATGATTTATAAAGTATTCAGTGTGGTAATTATCAGATCTGGCGAACGCGGCTGAATTTCAAACCACATTTTTTTTACTAAAAATTTTTTTTTGGTCAAAATAATGTGGATTCAGCTGCGTACTCGCGTATAGGCATCTACGCGCCTGGGAGCCAAAAATAGCCTTAAAAACAAACTACTGTGTGTACAGATAAAACATTTTGCATGTACACTGTAGCATTATCATGTGTTCCTCTAGTGGACAAAAATTTATATATGGAAAGACATTTAAATATTCTCCTGTGAATGTACAATGACCTATAGCATAGGCATGTAGCATTGCCTAGGTGGAGTTTCCTGTAGCTAGGATTAAAATGAATCATTCCCTTTGTGTTAAAAAATGGCCCGGGCCACAGGTTATACTCTTAAATGATGTAGCTATTGTGCTTGACTGCTTAATTTTGTGGGCCTTTTGTGTCATTATATAAATTTATATTAAATATACACAATTTCACTTTCTTTCACTATCTTGAGATTCATAATTTAGTCACATTCAATGTTCAATCAACCATGTGATTTGTATCACATTGGGAATCAATTCAACAGATTTTCCTGAAAGAATGAAATCCCCAAAGCCAAGGGTGTAATTTTTTGATTTATTGCATTTATATTCTGTACAAGTGATCAAAAGTTGTATTGTCCTCCTCTGATTGATAACAAAGCTTATTGTGTGTTAATTTGTAAAGTTGCCCAAATGTTGAAAGATCACAGGGACATTCCTAGTTCTCATTGTCTGGTTGGGCGTACCAATTACTTGATTACATTGTTTCAAGTTTAGTTAAACTAACAGCTGTTTGTAGTTTTGTGTAGTGAATTTAAACCTTAAAGCTACATGCTTCCAGATGAGTCAAAATATTTCAATATAATCAAACTTGAGAAAAATGTACATTGTACTAAGATTTTAGGAAAAGTAAAAATATTCAACATTCAAGTAATAATTAACAGTTATATGCGATTAATGACTGATTTTTCAGTATTTATGACTATATTTCTACTGCGTTACTAACGCAGTAACGGCTATTTTTGCATGTTTTGATCTCCTTTTGATAATTTATGTGGGTTGTAAGTGCCACTGATAATGTGTAAAAATTGTTTCAATTTAGTTACTTCACAATATTATACTTTTAAATACATTCTCAAACTTTTAATGAAAAGTAACTTGAATCCGGAGACCTTAACCTGCAGAATTCCTGTAAGAGATTTGCCCCGCTTTCAATATAAAATTTTTCATTTCAAGTTCAAGATTAAAGGATTTTAATATCAGAATAAAAAATTAGCTACCAGCAGTACCGACTTCAGACTGCCCTGGCTATATTTTGGCATTCTTAAATAGTAAAGAATTGGAATATTGATAGTGAACATAATGTTTTTTGTCCCATCTTTCAACAGACAACTACATTGTATATTCTTTGTAGCCACGTCTTCAATGGAGTTGGACAAAACATACAACAGCTTTATTTTGAAATAGAAATTCACCCCCTCAGTGAGCACCTTTCAGCTGAAATTTTCGAAATTCAGGAAACTTCACCAAATTTATTTAGGAAACTTTACTTATCTGATCACCTAAAATTCTGTTGATCATTATGGTTGGTTAGCCTCAACTTGTATTAATTCCTTAATAAATTTCTTTTTATGCCACCGCAGCAATGCGATGCGGTGGCATATAGCGATTCACCTGTGTTTCATGTGATTCATGTGTGTGTTTGTGTGTGTGTTATATAGATTATATAGTGAACTTAAAAAATCTTCTTGTGAAAAACTACTAGTCCAATTTCAACCAAACTTGGCAGGATTGTTCCTTGGTGAAGGGCTTTCAAAGTTGTTCAAAGAATTTATTCCATGCAGAAATCTGGTTGCCATGGCAACCAAAAGGAATTATAAGAATAAATTTTAAAAAATTCTTCTTGTAAAGATCCAAAAAAAGGCCCCAAGAGCTTAGATATTTTGCAATAAGGCATTGTCTGGTAGACCATCTAACAAGATTGTTCAAATTATAGCCCTGGGGTCAAAATGGCCCTGCCCCGGGGGTTCATGATTTTCACTATGTACATATAGTAAAAACTTAAAATACCTTCTTGTTAAAAAACCCCAAAAAGGCCTAGAGCTTAGAGATATTTTGCATAAGGCATCATCTGGTAGAACCTCTAGCAAGGATTGTTCAAATTATAGCCTTGGGTCAAAATCGGGGCCCCGCCCCGGGTCATGATTTTGCTATTGTACATATAGTTTAAACTTAAAACACCTTCTTGTAAAGCCCCCCAAAAGGCCTGAGAGCTTAGATATTTGCATAAGGCATTGTCTGGTAGACCTCTACCCAGATTGTTCAAATTAAACCCCTGGGGTCAAAATCGGCCCGCCCCAGGGGTCATTGGTTTTCCTATATGTATATAGTAAAAACCTTTTAAAAAAATTCTTTAGCAATTGACAAATGCTTAGAGGTTAGATATTTTGCATGAAACATTGTGTTTGTAAACCTCTAGCAAGATTGTTCAAATTATAGCCCTGGGTCAAAATGCCCCGCCCTGGGGGTCATTGATTTTCAATATATAAATATAGTAAAAAATAAAAAAAAATCTTATTGTCTGAAGGAACAAGGCTTAGAAGCTTTAAATTTGTTAAAAAATAATCATCTAAAGGTACTCTACCAAAGTTGTTCAAATTTTGCCTCTTGTGTCAAATTAGCTCCGCCCCTGGGGGCCATAGGTTTATCTTATATGTTATAGTAAAAAAACTTAAAAAGTCATCTGCTTAAATTTACAAAGGATAGAGTTAAGAATATTTTTTGCATGAAACATTGTGTAGTGAACCTCTAGCAAGATTGTTCAAATTATAGCCCTGGGTCAAAATTGGTTCGCCCGGGGGTCATTGATTTTCATTATGTACATATAGTGAAAAAAAAAATTTTGTCTGAAGGTTAAAGGCATAGAGCTTTGATGTTTGATATATTAATATCATCTATAGGTCTCTCACCAAAAAGTTGTTAATGTCAAAAAATTGCCCTGCCCGGGGCAGTGATTCTCATTATGTACACATAGTAAAAACAAGAAAATAAAACAACTGTTTTCTGAATGGGAGAAAGCTATAGCTTAGATATTTGACTTGAAATGTTGTTTGTGGGACCTGTATCAAGATTGTTATTAAACCCTTGGGTCAAAATTATGCCTTGGCCCAAGGGGACAGTGACCTACTTTCTTGTCCTTTTTTGATGTACAGCAAGAACATTTTCACCATGTGCACATTTTAGTTGTAAAAATTAAACTTTTGACCTAGATTTTGATGATGTGACCTACTTTCTTGTCCTTTGATGTACAGGTATGAAATTTGAACCATGCGGTGGCATAGCATTTTTCTCAAATGCAATCTTGTTTTTTATGTTTTCAATTTCAGTTTCCTATCACAGCATTGAGAGAGATTAAGATACTACAGTTGTTGAAAAATGAAAATGTTGTCAATTTAATTGAAATCTGCAGAACAAAAGGTAAAGTATAGTGATCTTAATTGATAATTTAAGTAATACAAACAAATGTATTGTGAATTGATAGTAAAATATATGTAGTATCTTGAACATTGATAACAAGCTATGATGAAGAAAAGTCCCAATCAGAAATGAGGTCATTACCATTTATTTGTGGATTTTTTAATTTTCTTAATCTCATTTTTTTTGTGCTGCCCATTAGCAGTTCTATTGTATGGGTGATTCTTTACATAGAGGGAATTTAAGTTTTCTGTCAAGATCAACCATTTAGGAGAGAATTATTATTTTTAGATTTTGGCTCTTAGAACCAGTAACTTAGAACTTGCACTAGAGCTGTCATGGATAGAAACAGTAAAGATGTATCATTGATATTTTTCTGTCAATTAATAATAAATTTACATTTCAAAAAATTGATAAGTTTGACTAATCAATAAAATGTCTAGAAATTATGAAAAATTCACCCAAAACATACATAGAAGCAGATGTCCATGTCTAACATTATGCTGTTGTTATATAGTGGAAATATTTCACAGCAATCAGGACAAAAATAGAATTGTCTGAATCATGCAATGGGCTTTTATAAAAAAAAAAGACGCTGAACAGAATATGTTTTTAACTGAAATAATTTAAAAAGGTATGAAAGTGAATGACAGACAAGTAATTATAGGAAATTATTGACAATCTGTGTATGGGTGATATTTGTTATCTGGTATCGATATATCGTTGATATGCTTTGCACTGAATCAATGGCAGCTCTACCTTGCACAAGAATTTAGTACTAGAGTGCACTAATGTTCTACTTTCACAAGACCAAGATTATTATAATAGTTAACACATTTCCTGTAGTAATGTGCACTTACATGTATAATATATAAACAAATAATGATAGAAATTAAATTTGTTTGTCTTTCTAGATATATTATTAGTTATACAGATTTTTGACAGGTTATATGGCCCTATATACCCGGTAAATGGTTGTTTGTAAATATAACCCGAGCCACCAGGCGAGGGTTATATTGCAAACAACCGTTTATATTCGGCCATATAACCTTTCAGGAATATTTATAACGAATTTATAATACTGCAAACTTCCTTTTTAGAGAAAAAAAAAGAGATTTCTTTATAAATTGACAGCGATCGTGTATATAAAACTAAATAAACGTCACGATTATCTAATGAAAAGTGACATTACAAACAGGCAGTATTATAATCACTAAAACATAGAATAGCTTTGATTTGATCAAATTTAACATTTAATATATTATTTAAGTTACAAATCAGTAATAAGGTAGTTAACAAAACAATTCAGAGTTTTCACATTTTACCATGTGCTCAAACTCTGCTATCATTTATGATAATAAATCTAAAAGTAGGTCACATGCACCTATCATCATAATTATGTCATCATATTATGGCAAATACACACTCATGGCAATTTATTATGAATTTTGCATAAAATATCTTTCCATTTATGCTGAAACTGAATATATTATTTACAAAATTAAAAATACTTTTTCTAATGTTTCATTTTTGGCTGGGTTGCACAAGTGCAAACCCTGGTTATAAAATGGTGACAGTCGGGTGGCGGGGGGATGGGCGGGCAGGCGGTGAAAATATTTTCGTAACAGTTTTCTCAGCAACTACTTAACACAGCATCTTGATATTTGGTATACAGTATCAACACGTGGTTCCATACAGTAACAGTTTTCTCAGCAACTTCTTATTGCAGCCTATTGTCCCCATACTGTGGGATTCAATTTCAGGTCTGTCGTTCATCCACTTCTTGTTTACAAACTTAGTTAAATTTTCAACATTAACCTTTTACCCCATGAGCATATTGCGAAAAAGGGAAACGGACAAAAGCCCTCCCGGACAAAAGCCCTCCCGTCCAAAATGACAAGGCGGACAAAAGTCCTCCCGTAAAAATGACAGGGCGGACAAAAGCCCTCCCGTGAAATTAACAAGGCGGACAAAAGCCCTCCCGTGAAATTAACAAGGCGGACAAAAGCCCTCCCTTAACAAAAATACATGTGTATGTTAAATGCCAGTGTTTTTTAATGCACTCAACATATTAAAATGTAACATATATATGTGTTGTTGTTTTTTTTTAATTGGCCTAAGTATGTGTATGAGCTAGAACCACTTTTCACTCAGAATATACTTTCTGAAATGTTTAACGAAGTGTCTTTTAACATAAATATCCTTAAAGTCACTTTTAAAAGTAATTGACTCATTACAAGACACATTGTAATTGTCTTGGACTTTTAATTCTAGTCAATTTAAACTATTTTTTTCATCATTTATAACTCTCACATTGGAGTAATCCTTTCATAGTTACGTGTATATGCACTTACATATTTTAGCACTTATTACAGGAGGGCTTTTGTCCGCCCTGTCATTTTCACGGGAGGGCCTTGTCTGCCTTGTCTTTTTTGGACGGGTGGGCTTTTGTCCGGGAGGGCTTTTGTCCTACACCGTTTTCATTGAAAAGCCTCCTGTAACAAGTTCAAACTGCTATGAAACTATGAAAAATGCTTCAATACTAATGAAACTTGGCACAAATGTTGACTAGTTACTCTAAGATCGACCCGAGGCCATTTTCACATGTCCAAAATTTTCTTGGCGATGAGGGGGACATCCCCCTTCTGGCAACCCCCTGATGTAATACTTGGATGGGGGACGGCGCCGAAAAAGTGGTCACTTTTTTTAACAACATTTCTCAAACGGAAAACAGTGTTTGGGGCCTAAATAGGGCATTTTTTCACTGTTTGAGGCCTCAAAAAAGGGGAGGGGGGCAAAAAGCCGTCGAAACATGCTTATATAAGGGAAAAGGTTAATGGTGCATGGTAGGAAATTTTCGTAACAGTTTCCTCAGCAACTACTTATCACAGCCTCATGATATTTGGCATACAGCATTAACACATGGTCCCATACTGTAGGATTCAATTTCATGTCTGTTGCTCAACCTATTCCTGTTTACCGACTTGCTTAAATTTTCAACATTAATGGTGAATGGTAGGAAATTTTCGTAACAGTTTTCTCAGCAACTGCTTTTCACAGCCTCTTGATATTTAGCATACAGCATTAACACATGGTCCCATACCGTGGGATTCGATTTCAGGTCTGTTGCTCATCCACTTCCTGTTTACTGACTAGTTAAATTTTCTAACCATTTTTTGTAACATTACAGCATATACAAATGTACCTGGCCTTTTCTGTCTTTGACACATTTTTATGCCCCCGCCATGTAATGGCCGGGGCATATAGTGTTACCCTGTTCCGTCATTCCGTCCTTCCGTCATTCTGTCATTCCGTCATCATCAGTTTCCGCTCATTATCTTACGAACGGTTGCACACATTCAACTCAAATTTGACATATGGATATGTCATGAGAAAATACAGGTCAAGTTCGAATTTGGTCATGGTTCAATGATTTTTGGCAGAGTCATGCCCCTTTTACTTTGAAAATAATATGAAATTTCAGTTTCCGTTCATTATCTCCTTAACGGTACAACACATTCAACTCAAACTTGACATATGGATATGTCATGAGAAAATACAGGTCAAGTTTGAATTTGGTCATGGTTCGATGATTTTTGGCAGAGTTATGCCCCTTTTACTTTGAAAATAATATGAAATTTTCAGTTTCCGTTCATTATCTCCCCAACGGTACAACACATTCAACTCAAACTTGACATATGGATATGTCATGAGAAAATACAGGTCAAGTTTGAATTTGGTCATGGTTCGATGATTTTTGGCAGAGTTATGCCCCTTTTTCTTTCAAAACAATATGAAATTTTCATTTTCCGTTCATTATCTCCCCAAAGGTACAACACATTCAACTCAAACTTGACATATGGATGCGTCAAAGGAATGGGCAGGTCAACTTCAAATTTGGTCATGGTTCAATGATTTTTGGCAGAGTAATGCCCCTTTCACTTTGAAAATAATATTAAATTTACAGTTTCTGTTCATTATCTACCCAACAGTGTTACATATTCAACTTAAATTTGACATATGGATATGTCAAAGGAATGGGCAGGTCAAGTTGGAATTTGGTCATGGTTTGATGATTTTTTGGCAGAGTTATGTCCCTTTCACTTTGAAAATAATATAGATACATCTTAGGAATAAGCAGTTTATGTTTGAATTTGGTCGTGGTTCAATGATTTTAGACAAACTTATATTTCCTGAATGTTGGAAAAATTTTGAACTTTCAGTTTCAGCCCTCATACTTTAGCCATTTATAATTTTGGCTACAAATATGCAATATGCTATTTTTAAAAGGTTAAGACTGAATAATTTCAGTGCCTTGAACATTGTATGAAAATGGTTTGTGTTAACATTGAAAAGTTTTAAGGGCTTTGAACTTAAAATGAAAAAAATAGTTAATGCACCATCTGAAATTTTGGCTGCATGCGGGGGCATCCGTGGCATGATGACACATTTCTAGTTTTCTGGATGGCCTTTCACTGTTATCACATGTACCTTTAATATTTTCTTGTTTAATTTCAGCCACACCTTATAACCGTTACAAGAGTACATTCTACCTGATATTTGAGTTCTGTGAACATGACCTGGCGGGCCTCCTAAGTAATGCCAATGTGAAGTTTAATCTAGGAGAGATTAAAAAAGTCATGCAGCAACTTCTAAATGGTTTATATTATATACATACCAACAAAATTCTCCACAGAGATATGAAAGCTGCCAATATTCTAATCACAAAACAAGGTGTTCTTAAGATGGCCGACTTCGGACTAGCAAGGGCTCTGAGCCATATAACAAAATATACTAACAGGGTAGTGACTTTGTGGTATCGACCGCCAGAACTGTTACTTGGAGAGAGGAATTATGGTCCACCAATAGATATATGGGGTGCGGGATGTATACTGGCAGAGATGTGGACAAGGTCGCCTATAATGCAAGGAAAGACGGAGCAACATCAGTTACAACTTATCAGTCAGCTTTGCGGCTCTATCAAGCCAGAGGTGTGGCCAGGGTGTGATAAACTTGAACTGTATTCTAAATTAGAAATACCTGATGGTCATAAAAGGAAGGTAAAAGAAAGGTTGAAGCCATATGTAAAGGATCAGTATGCGTTAGATCTGCTGGACAGACTATTATGTCTGGACCCTGCCAGGCGTATAGACTCAGACACTGCCCTCAATCATGATTTCTTTTGGGAGGAACCCCCACCACAAGATCTCAGTAGAATGTTGTCACAGCATTCAACATCAATGTTTGAGTACCTAGCTCCACCAAGAAAGCTTCAATATAGACCAGCTGTCCCGCAACAGCCAAGACCAGCACCCAACATGGATCAACACTTTGAGAGAGTTTTCTAGGTTGAGTGACTTTTAGAACTAACATAATATAAATATACATGATCGAAGAATTGGAAGTGAGATATTGAAATTGTGTCATCCTAACACCAGTCTTGGAAATTGGTTGGTTCAGTTTTAATGAAACAATGCATGAATGTGTACATTGTAATTTGTATTGGAGAAGGGAAATGTGACCCACCAAATTCAATCAAAATACCCATGAGTTTTTTAGTTACATTAAAAAATGTGTGTTTTAATTAAGGAAATAATAATAAGGAAATTATACTGGTATTCAGGGATGGTCATTTATAACTTTAAAATACCGATAGGCATCTTATTATTGGAAAATTATCCTATTACAATACTTATATGCTAGATTTTAAAGCAGCATGCCTCCAGATTCATGTTAATATTCATGAAAATTTTTGAAATGTATTTAAAAGTAAAATATTGTGAGGTGAACAAATAAAGTAATTTACATATTACAATCCAAGAAAATTACCAAAAAGATATGCAAAAAAAGCCCTTATTGCGTTAGTAAGGCAGTAGAAATATGGTGATAAGATACTGCAAAAGCAGTCTTAAACTGCACATAACATGTAAAAATTGAACTTGGATCTTGAATGTTTTTACCTTTCTTAAAATTTAAGTACTTTTTTCTCAATATGGATTTTCTTGAAATATTTTGGCTCATCTGGAGGAATGAGATCTTGACATGAATGAGTATTGTAATAAGAAAATAATTGAAACAACATTTAGTCCAAGTGTATTAGTATTCTATTATGTTATGGCATTTAATAAATTAGAAATAGTCATTATTTCAACAATAATATCTATATTATAAACAAGTTTCTTAAGATGTATGTGTAACTATAATGTAACTGAAGTGTTTAAGATTTTAGGATCTTTTTGATTTCATGAAAATTTTCCTAAAATCTTTCAGAGTTTGCATTGCAGAAAAAAATATCCAAATCCTTCCAGGACAAAATTGGTTTCAGGTCCTTATTATTTTAGCAAATATTTGCATTCTTCATCCAAATGAATCCTATAATTGTAGTTCTAAAAACATTAGTAACATTATAAATATGTAGCTGGCATAACACAATGTTATAATGATACTTTAATGTTAGGATGAACTATGATTTACTATGATACATTGCCTAGTTTTATGGACTTTGTCTCATTTTAACTTAATATATCACATTATATTAAGAAGCTTCAAGCAACTGATTTGTAACATGTGGCGAGGGATATCAATTTTACAAATAAGCTTGTTTCTGTATTAATATTGTAAAAGATAAAACCATTTCTCTGACATTTTAATGTTTTTATGTTTTATTTTAGTTGTATACATTTATGGTATAGAGATATGTATATATGAAGAGCTGCCGAGTTTTGCAGGATTAAAAATGTTTAACTTCTACAGCGAGGGAAGCTGAGTATATTACATTATAGTTTGTTTCAGCATTTACACATTATCAACTGTGTCAACTTAAGCTTTAATCAATATAAATCAATTTTAAACAATCTTGTATGTAATTTTAATGTCTTGTGAATTATTTGGAAATAAAAGCAACATAATTGATCTCGTTTTTTTGTTTCATTTATCTTATTTATAATTAATAAATGCTTGAAATTTATATTACATGGCAATATTCGACATACAGTTTAAATAATGTTCCTTGTTTAGGGGATTCAGATTAGCCAATTTCAGTTCAAAGCTGTCAACTTTAATTGTGCCATTTTAATCGAAATGGGATATGTAGATGGTTACAGAAAATCGGCTTCTACCATTTGAGCGAGCACACAGTGTGTAAAAAGGATTTTTTTTAATGCGTTTATTTAAGGTCGCCGCCGGAAAGCCCATATGGGCGACTGTACACTCGAGTCAGGCCATCCTAGAGCGTCCCGCCGAGATTTTTCGTCGATTTCTTTCCCGCTTTATTGGTGGAGGAAGACCCCAGGTGCCCCTCCGGGCATTATTTCAGGCACGAGCGGGCACCTGGGTAGAACCACCGACCTTCCGTAAGCCAGCTGGATGGCTTCCTCACATGAAAGATTTCGACCCGAGTATAAAAAGGATGCAGCTTGTGTCCATTATTATACGTGCAAATATAGTCTTAATCTTTACCATGCTAAATATCTTTAATAAACTTGGCCATCTTTCAATCCGGACAAAACCATAAATTATTTTCAGGGAAATTTTCAAAATATGTACTGACTGAATAACGAACCACTCTGAACCTATGTTGCCTTTGGATATTTTCTCGTTAATTTACAAATCAGGACTTGAAATGTTTCCTCAGCATTTAAATTGCTATGTCTATTTTTCTGAAGTTAGTACGATAAAACATGCTATAAATGCGTACTGGTTGTTAAAAACTTCGCAGTGAATAAGGAGACCAGTCCACTTTACAAAAACTACAGCATATTCGAACTTGAGGTATCATAGCTTAGCACATTAGAATAATTCACAACATTATTTTTGTGTGGTACTTTTAGTTTCTTTTTGGCGTTTTTCAATTTTGGCGATTCCAGTATTCCTACTTGAATAATGTATAATCACCCTTAGGATATGTTGCCTGCTTTTTAAATTTATCTATTGACGTCTTATCTGTGATATGCAGGCTTCATAACCTCTTATCCCTTTTCAAAATTCCATTTTATTTAGTTCCGCCCTTTAAGGACACTAGCAATTTTGAATTGGGGACCATACGTCGCTTTTCATGGAATGGCACAAACGTGTTACATTTGAGGTTCCATGATAACCGTCGTATGAATACATCTGCGGATGTTTCTAAATTGAAAATTCACCATTACATGACTAAATGTTGAATTCTGCTGAAGCCGGTGCTGGGGTGTGTGGTGTGGGGGGGGGGGGGGGGGCGTTGACGATAACGTTGCACTTTTCCCAGTACCGTCCATAAACAGGCTCAATCAAACCGAGCCTGCAACATGTTCAATTTTGTCGTTTTGGGCGTTCTTTAGGAATTCAGTTTTTCACTATTTTATGATATACATTACATAAAAAACTACAGGAAAAAAAAAACAAGACATGACATGACAACGTTCATCAATAAACGTTTATTTATGGTAATCTTTAACGTAACATCATATTTTAAGTGTGTTAGTAACATCTTTTAGTCATATACTTTTAAGCTAAAGGAAACATATCTTAGTCGTATTTTTTTTTAAGTTTGTTCAAATGTTAAAAAGTTACATCTTCATGTCATACATATTTTTGTTCGGTCAAATTTCGAACGTAAATAGCATTTGATAAAATTAATATTTTTGAAACAGAAAATGGACCCTACATATGGTTAAAGATGATGACTTTAATAGATTTCGTTTTTTACAAACTATTTTTCTCTATGTTTGTATAAACATAGAGAGGTCAATTCTATGTGAATGATCAAATAATTCAACAAGCTGCTCAGATTAGCAAATTACGGATAAGCAAATGTAATAATACAAACATTTTTTCAATGTGTCTTGATTGCGGAACACTGTGCTATGATGTCATAAAACATGTTGTTGTAAATTGTAATAGAATATACATTTTTTCGTGAAATATTGTTTATACATTTGAAATATTATTATTTATACATTTGAAATATTATTAAGTGATAGCGAAATTATTAAAGTTTCAGAAACGTATAGGCAGACGTCTGTTATCATTAAAAAACAAGAATATTCATTAACATTTTTATACACATCGAAGTTTTCAAATCTCGTAAAGAAAATGATCATGTTTTAATAGTACAATGTACTATGTTAAATATACGTTCAAAATGTCATAATTATGTTATTAGACTGGTATTAGTGATAACTGTACCAGCACCTTAAATATATCATCATATAAAATTGTTTAATGTAAATAATCATATACACAGTAGTCTTCTATGCCTATTCGATATAATTATTACATAAATACTTTTTTGATGTCTATGTTTATGCTATTTTCACTTTATATTTTCATGCTGCATTTGATTTGCACTTAACCAATATGGTATGCATGTTACCATGCAAACGACCCATGTCGTTTATTTATGCAAATTTGTATATATGTTTAACTGTTATTTTCACTCTGTATTGTATAATTATGTTAATCCCTTACTGTGGAAATAAAGGTATATAAGCATTTATAGAGGGAACAATACCGGTTAAAGCCGTCTGGTAAGCTCAATAGGTAGAGCGTTGGACTGTGAATCGGGCGACCCGGGTTGATTCCCGGACGGCGCAGGTCACTTTCGTTGTGATTGATCATGAGATCCTTTCTTCGGTCATTCGCAGTGTACCTCTGCTCTGGCATGTACAGAAGTTTCAGTTCCTTGCGAAAGTGAAGGCAACTAGTACTGGTAAACTGCCTGACAGCTTGGTGGTTGAACTGTGCTCTGGTGAATTCAATGTGGCTTACTGTCGTAATCCAGAATACCACCACCACAATACCGGGTATTTCTACTATTATTGTTTGTTGTTGTAAACGACTGCTTCAGTCAACACATTTGATTACACTCTTTGTTCAGAGGACGAACAGTAAGAAATGCATCTCGTAAATATTACGACGGGATTGTAAGCCGTACATAAGTGTTATGACGTCATAAGCATTATTCTTACACTTCTCTCTTCCCTTCGGTACGTGTACGTCGTTGAGAAGACACAGGGCATCGGCAGAAGATTTGAAAACTTGGGACGGCGCTTAAAGATCGGAACTCGTACTGCGGACCAGCTGCCGATGTCCTGACTAAAGCCGAGGGGAGTGGCCCTACAAAGTTGGCTTCGGGCCGACGAGGATGGTGTGCTAGGGTGCGTGCGCCCTTATCACGGTTAGACGGCTTGAACAACAGGCCTTTTGCTGGCACCAACAGCACTTTCAGGGCTATCCTTTCATATTGTCTCAGGTTATTGTACATATAGGTTCTCATTGACCACCATACAGTGACCTACTTTTGGCTAAAAATTCATATCTTTGGCTAATACTCAGTGGAAATTGCATGGAGGTAAATTATCACCACTTTGTGCTTTAAAATCAACTCGGCAGCGAAATCTGCATTTTGCGCCCTTACGGGCGGATGGACCCTAATTAAGCATACACTACAATACTTACAGCATTATTCTTAAGAAATAATCTTTTCATAGGTTTGGAAAGACACAAGCCGCTAGTCGGGGTTATATTGCAAACAACCGTTTTTATATGACCCATATAACTTGTCAAGAATCGTTTTAATGATTTTATA